TCTCCTTTCCATTACCAGCTACTACCATACTTTCTTCCCTTGCAGTTGCTACCAGACCAGCAGAACCATTGGATGCAAAACTTCCAGAAGTTGCTTGACCATCATACTCAGTGCCATTTCCATTCTCCACTTGTTTAGCCCCAAATGCATAATCATTATCTATCCCACCAAGCTGCAAAGGAAGAACCCTATACTTCTCAGTTTTGTCAATGGTGCCATTCACCTCATCATATGAAACTGAAGAATGGGGTTCTAGCTCACCTTCATCAAACCTCAATAATAATAACATCTAGTAATTACCATAAAAACAAACAAACAAACATACTGCAAGGCATATCTAAGGTCCCCCACACAGAACAGACTAAGGTCAGAGAGCAATATGGTAGCTCTCAAAACCATTACCTAATATCTAGGTTATGAAGCTTCAACAACCTACACACATAGACAGACATGAACAAAATGTTTTTCTGTTGCCTAACTACCAAAGCATCAATAGAGAAAGTTAATTCAAAGTAAGCTTTATTTTTAATACAGTTTTAGAAAAGTTGAGCCTGAATAGATGCCATGGAGTACTGATTAAAATCATTACCACAAAATTTAAACAAAGTTGAAGAAATATCAATTTGGCTTCTGGCATCTTTTCTTTTCTTCAACTTCTAGCAGGCAATAGGAAATAAGATAAAAGGAGAGCTTGAAGCCAAACGAAAAGTAGAAAAAGAAGAGGAACAATGGAACCAATACTAACCTCTTGTTTAGCAGTGCCAGTTCTGTTAACCAAGGCATGTTCTGTGTTGTCAACATTTGAAAGATGTGAAAATATACACCTCACAAGTTCATGCATCGTGTGGCGAGCTATCCGCTGTAACAACTCACCTTTCTTCTCTGCTTGGTGAACTATACGAAAGCAAGTGTTAACTATTGTGCAAACATGCTGATTACTCAACATAACTGAGGCTTTACTTTTCATGCAAGCAAGAAGAACCTGAAGAATCTTCATCAGTACCACTTCTTCTGATGCAGGATCTGTCACCTCAAATCGACAGCTAGTCACAGCATCAACTACCAAACGCATAGCATCCTCAACATTAACAGTATTTTGATCAATCACATCAAGGGTTAAAATTTTGTGAAGAGAAGATAGCGCAACACCAGTGATTGGTGCACCAGTTTCATCCGATCGAATCACATCCAAAAAAGGCTGGAGATACACAGCAGGGTTGATGGTATGCCACTGATGCTGCCACAAGAAAATTTCCTTCCGTAATGCCTTCAATGACTGAATTAAAGAGTGTTCTAGCTGATCATCACCTGACATGTATCGACCACCCCATCTTACATTTCTCCTCATGACAGCTAATACAGCACCTACTTCTGAATTAATCATACATGCTAAAGTTGCTTTGCTAGAGTATGTAGTATCACAGTCCTCGGGTTCCTCTTCAATTGCCTTGATCCCAGATTGCAGCTTTAGACGCCCCATTTCTAAGTGATATTCTGTCTGGAACCTAAGGCCTTTCTATATTTACTAACTGCTAGAAAGGAGAGCACAGGGACCCCACCAGAGCATACCCTTCACAATTTACAAAGACATCCATTATATTATAAACAAGGTCATTAACCTTTTCATATACTGAAAAAATCCACTTATACTTAAAACTACAAAGAGAAATGAAATAAAAAAGAATCCAAAAAGTAGCCTCAGAAGATACAACAAATATGTAGAAGACTTCATAAGCAAGCAAGATAACATGCATAAAGTGACATGTGCAAACATAATAGGTACACGTAAGCATATATGGTTGTACTGCCAAGCAAAGAGACAGACTAAAAAAACATCTAAATGCACCGGAAAAGCAAAAGAAACAAGAGAGGGAAAATACTTGATATATACTATAAAACATAGGCTAAAGCCAGCTTCTCCTACTGATGCACAGAACCTCTAAATTGATGCATATAATATGCTTATTACATATGAATGCCTGCATTGAAGTGTATAGCCTACCAAATATGCAGTTCCAACAAAACAAAAAAAATAAACACTGTTTCAAGGTATCTTTGGTTTCTGATTTAAAAGTTGGCAATATATAGTGATCTAACCAGCACGCTTAAGCTTCTAAGACATAAAAAATTGAAAAGCTAACAGAACAACACCAGCACTTCTTCCTCCCAATACCAATAAACACCAACCTCCCAGCCCTGCAATGTTACTACCAGAAGCTACCACTCAACCTTATTGTCTCCTCCCATCAACCAACTCTTTCACCAGTGCTACTACATTAATTACCACTCCCCACCATGAAAAGCACAAACACCACTGAAATCTCATTAAGGTATTTAATCCCAAAACTATTGCGAGAATCTAAGGCACCCTAAAAGAGCAATTATAAAGCTCAACAGCCCACATACCAGTTTGAGCAGATACGGACAGCCCTAAAAGGAAATTCAATTGTTTATTTTATACAGAAAAAATACCCTAGAAATAACAAACAATCATAATCATCAAAAGAAATTGAGCATTAAACCCACTATAAGATGTCTTAAACTTAAATAACATAACGCAATTATACAGAAGCTGTGGAACCACTAACAACTATCATATAAGTAAAACAAAATTAAGATTCTAAAAGTACAAAACAAGTCATTTTTTTACATAGTTTCAATCCAATTCTAAACGAATTCACTTAAACTTACATACACATCATCTCAAAGACAAGTAACAAAGTTTCCTCAGTTTAACACTACGCTCTAATTGGTGGTAGCTTTAGCTAAATATGTTTTCAAAGTTGTTTGGACACAAAAGCAACTACCAATATTTTAAATAATTTAAAATTAAAAACTTAATTAGTGAATAACAAAATATGTTTGAAAACTTGTTGCACTTTAACTATTTGCTCATTCTTAATCGAATATGAATTTGCTTTCTACTCTTAAAAAACAGAAAGCAAGTGGCAGGAAACAAAAAACAACCAACCAAACAGAGCCTAATTTTAAATATAACGAGTGAAAGAAAATTATTTAAAACCATCTGCCTATATAACATAGTTAAGAAATCTAGCATAAATGAAATAAATGCAAAGATAAAAAAAACTCCAGATCAAAACTTAATCAACTGAGACACTAACACAGATCTAATCCACCAGTTCGGCATTAATAAAACATGATAAAATAAAAGAAAAAAAAAACCAACTTGAAATTCGAAATACATATTACTCATAGTTTCAGGTCAACTTTCAAAACAGAAAATAAAACTTCGAAATCGTGTTATTTTCCATTTTCGTTTCATTTCCTTTCTTCAACTTCAAACTGCTGCTCAATGCGTATAAAATTACAACCAAAAAGAAAGGAAAAAAAAATTTTTAAGAAAAAGGCAAAAAATTAAGGGCATTAAATCGTAGAAGATGAAATTGAGATGAGATCAAGGGAAAAAAACAACTTACCTTTGCGGATCGAAACAGCGAGATCCAACAATGAATGGATTTTTCTTGTTCTTTTTCTTTTTCTTTCTTTATTTATTTTTTTTTTCCTTCCTCTGTGAGAGAGAAAAAAAGAGAGGATGGGGAACGAGGAAAGCAAACCGGAGTCCTGACACAGACTGAAAATGAAACTGAGAATTTTAATTTCCATAAAAGCCCCTTTAAATTTCGCTTTTACTTTTTTTTCTTTTTTTATTATTTTTTTAAAAAAAATATTTATTGGGACGCGAAGAAAAGGTGGCGCTTAAATAACAAAAAAAACTCCTGAAGTTTATCTTATCTAATTAAATGTTTTTTCTTTAATTTTTAATCAATTAAGCTTCACTTGTTTTATTTATCCAATTAATTTTTTAATTCGTAACAAATTTTATTCTCAATTATATCTATCATTATTTATATAAATGTAATTTTTATAAAAAAAAGGTGTATATATATATATGTAATTTAACAAATTTTTATCTCTAATTAAGTCATGAAATAAGAATTTAATTGAATAAAATAAAAAAATAAAAACTCAATTGAGTATAAATAAAATAATAAATTTTTGTTATTGTTATCCTTTTATTTTTTAATAAATTTATTAAATTGTGTTCCATTTTTTTTGAGAAAAAAAAGCAGCTGTGTTTAAGCCAGAATTGACTCTATTTCCAGGGGAGATGGGAGACTTTTCAATTTGCCAAAGAAATGGGCCTTCAACTTTTCAAGTGGGATAAGGCCTTTTTTGCATGTCTACAACCATAACTGAGGCATATGCATTCACGTGAGAAAAGAAAAGCGTAGAGTGAGTAAACATAAACAGCAACTATAACTAGACACACTGATTTTCCTCACCCTTTACCTCATCTGGCCGGGTGCTCAACCAAAGCAAATAAGGACTTCTGGTTGTAAATGACATCCAGCAACTCCTGTATTTGCTTCAGGTGAAATGCCAATTCACTGCAGGACTGCTCTCGAAATAGAAATAAGATCATCAGTAGCAGATTGTTGGAAATACAGTAAAACCAACGTCTCCAAACAATGGAGTACACAAGCTACATTAAAGAAAGGGGAATCTGACATAAATTTTTAGCAGAATATCAGGCAAGGTGAATGGCAAAGATTGTCTGAATCAACTCCACATATTTAAATCAAACGTTCCGCCGCAGCACCATTAAACTGAAAAACTTAAAACATGTAGTATCTAGCTTGCACTCGAGTGAGTGAACACTAATTTGTCCACTGGCTAGAAGGGAGTAGCAGCGTGATATCCATTGCTAAATCTAGAACCCTATGCCATTATCTTAGCGGACCTCACATAGAGGCTATCTACAACCTTGCCAATGTTGGAGATGGTTTCCAATGTTGCAGGGTAGATGGCGTCGGTCTTGGGATCGTCAAATATGACGAGGCATCCAGCACCCTGATCCAGAGTTCCTGCAAACTTCTTATCCAGAATCATCTGAGAAAGTTTCTTCTCCACATGATCTACGGGCAATTCAATCAGTTCAGCAATATGTGCGATCTCAACCCTTGAGAAAGGCTCAATCAATCTGCAGAGGTTCTGCTCCAATAGAGTGTCGTACAGGGAAGAAAGGTGCCTGTGAACAATAGGATCTTCCTCTAGTTGGGCCTTGAAATCACGAAGAGCAACCTCAAAAAGCTTCAGGGAACGTTTTGCATGGGCATCAGCAACAGCTTTCATGGCATCAAGTTCAGGCCCCACATATTGTAGCCCTGCCTTGGATGATATTATACCAGCAACATCATCAGCCTGGCTCACCATTATTTTGCACAACAACATATACTTGAGGCTAAATACTGCACGCGGATCTTCAAGAGCATTGAAAGCTTCAAATGCTTCAAAGAAATAGCTATAAGCAGTTTTGTAATCCTTCTCCTCTGCATGGAGGATTCCACTCTGCAAATCTATATTACCCTGCTGAGCTGGTGGCACGTAAATTGCATTTGCTGCTGTTCTTGCAGCTGTTAGGGATGCCTTGGCTTTAGGCAGGTTTCGGAGAGAGAAATGAAGCTTACTCTCCAACAAGTCTATGTCCACAAGCAGTAGCTTGTCATCCAACCTTCTGACCTCCTTGATTAGGCCAGAAAGGAGATTCAGTGCTTCTGAGTACTCCTTGTTCTCCATCAAAAGAGCTGCAAGCTTTGCTTCAACTCGTTGCCGTAAGAAAGTTCGCTTCTCAGCACGAGTCCACTGCACCACTTCTTTGCAAAGAGAAATCTGGAGATCTGATGTTCCTGGTATTTTAGCTATATCATCAATTATACCACGGACAATCTTAGCAGTTTTTGCCTTTGGAATTAATGCAAAAAAGGGCCTCAATTGGGTCAGAAGGCTTCGGAGCTCCTCTGCCCTGTTCTCTTGTCTAAGAAGATCTGAGAGATTTGTTATGGCCTGTTCTTTAATCCGCAGAGCATCAGGAGCAGATGAAGGATTTTCTAGTACTTGGTAAAGGATCGAGATGGCTTCAGACGGAGTCTTGGCTTCTAGGGCCTGAGCAATTGAATCAGTGGTTGCTGGGAGATACGATGAAGACATTGTCAATGCTTAGAAATTCCAAATCCTGCAAAATGAACAATTCAATTTGAGATAGATAAACTTGCATCAAGAATTAAATTCCATAATTAAATTAATTAATCATACTTTTATCTGGCTAAAAGTTAAGGGATACAAAAGTAAAGTACCCCTAGAAGTTACAAGCTAACTTGACAACATGGACTGCAGCCCTTTTAGTTAGTAAAATACTGAACTAACTCACCAAATGAAACAGTCAATGGGAACTTAATAGCAACTAATTACATTATTTCATCACTCCAGAAAATGACAAACATCCTCAACCAAATAACTATTTTTACAAACCAGAACTATTATTAAAGAGCCAACTCCAACCTTCACAGGCCTTACAACCATTCATTCAAAATTTAGAAGACAAAACATTTTATTATTCATTCCCCTTTGGACATGTTTCAACAGTCTTAGAAATCATTGTCTGTCTTCCCATGTGCCGTTCACAGATATACTATAAAATAGTGATGGAATTAGCAACTCTTTGGACAATATACAATACATATTTGCAACTACAAAGCATGTCATTTGCTATGGGTATCAATATATTGCAAAAGAACAAGAATAAAGTGTCTCAGGGTTCTTTTACATGATCTCCACTTACCCACTTCAAGTTATACTTCAATAGGCCTCAAATAGTATGGAGTGTAATTCCTCACAGAAGAAATAGCCATGTGAGATTAAAACCAACCACTAATGAGCGGCCACAATAGAATACTTAAACCCTTACAATTCCCAATCAAATGTTGACAAATTGCAAGTGTCATAATTACATTTGAGAAGTGTGAGCATCAACAACATTTGAAGTTCCAATTATTTAGCTATCCAATGTTCTATTTCTTGCTAAAGAAGGAAGCGAAGAGCTAAGCCACCTAATAGTGTATTAGAAAGTGATTGTAGTTAAAAGTTTAACTCAACTGATCTGCCCTATTTTGGAGGGGATTTTCCCCTAAATTTTGGAGGTCAAACAAAATACAAACCCCTCTGGATCGCCTTGAAACTTCACTTCTTAATTCCTCTCAAATCAAGAGGATATAAGAGTAAACAGTGAAGAATTACACCTTTTGCGCCCTTTTCTACCACTCAAAATTTAACTTTACCAACAATCTTCATTCAGGATATAATAATGAGAATAGCAAACAAGCCCTCTATTCCACTCATTTTCTTGTCCTTTCCATTCCTAAACAACCCATTGTTTCTTCTGCTCACTTCTAATGTCCTCAATTTCCCCACCCTTTTACTCCATTTCTTTACCTTCAGAATTCCTAACACTAGTCTACTATCAGTGCAATGAAACCCAACCCACGATATGACATGGTTCAAAGGAGAAATTAGTACCCACTTAGAACCTTAGAAGCTAACCAGCAGAAACCTATGAAGCTGTCTTATGTCTGTGTCAGACATCAACGGGCCTCCTATGAATCTAACATAGTTTAATATTGGCCAGAAAAGTAAACAAAAAATACAACTAACATAATATTTATTTAATTTGACATTGATTTGACACCAGAAACCAGGACAAAAGTAGGAAGAAAAAGGGATAACACCGCCGATGGCAAAGGCGCCGACACCACCGCCTTGACCACAGAGAAATGAGTTAACAAAGAGGAAAATAAGCAGGAAAATTTCAAAGAATAATCATAGAACAAACTGAAAACAAGATTTGAAGTAAAAAAGATTCGCAAACAAAAACTCCTGTAGTTAAAAGAAAAACTAACAGAAATATCTTGAATCTGATGGAAATTTAACGGGAAAAAAAAGAAAAAAATAAAAAATGAGCTACCAAAAATCAAATTCCTACGAATCTTGAAGTAAAAGGTAAACTAGACATGTTGAAAACTCGCACCTGAAACCAGAGCAAGAAAATGGACGAATTGATCTATCCCACAGTCCCACGCTCCCTTTCTTGCTTTTGCCCGTATGCCCTGATTTCTTAGTTCACCTTTCCTTTTGGTCCGACTTAGGTAACAAGAAATTCCTGTCGATTTAAAAGTTTACGAGTTGCTTTATTGGCTTTTGGGCTTTGAAGTCGTTTTGGGCCTTGAGCCTTTCGCACATCCAATTTTAAAAAGTCCGATAAATTGAAAAAAAAATTAAGTATTTTTCTAAATATTTTACATTCATAAAAAAAGAAAAATAAATAATTAAAATATATAGAAAATTAATGTAATTAAATAAAAATTATTGAATACATTACATAGTTTTTAATTAATTAAGATATTTAATATTTTATCATTGAAAATTTTCGACTCACATAATTTTTCAAATTAACCATAAAATTGCATTGAAATATATTAATATTTATTGGATATAAGATAGTTTTTTTGCCTGAATACATATAGGATAGTTGGGCATTATTTTTTAATTAAAATTTTAATATTAATTCAAATAACTAAAGTAACAAATAAAAAAAATAAAACCAACTACCAAATATAAGATTTACATCCAATTGGAATAGAATATAATGAAAACCGTACCCCAAAAATTATATATATATATTTATATATATTAAAATGGATATTATATGTTTATTGCAATTGTTACATTTAGAAGCATGCAAATTTAAACCGAATTGAAAAACCAAATCAAATTGAAGTGAGTTTGATTTTTTCAATCCGGTTAGTTCGTTATTCACTTATTTAATTAATTAAGTTTGATTAGAATATTTAATTGCTTTAATTTTTTATTTTAAATATTTTAAATCAAAGTAATCGAACCAACCGAAATGAGTAGTACTTAAAAAGGTAAGTGAGCTTTGAATTTAAAAAACAAAACAAAATTATTCATTCTTTATTATTCAATTAAAAAAAATAAAATCTCAACATAGGATCTTATAAAATAATGCTACATCCTTACATTTTTTTCTTTTAGTTTCATGAGTTTGATTTTCAATAACCGAGGTAAACTAACCAAAATAGTTTGATGTTTCATTTTTTAGTTACCAAACTTTGTCGATTTGGTTTTGATTTTTTTTAGAGGAGGAATTCAATTTTTTTAGTTCGAAATTTCTAAAACTAATTTCATTGAACTAACCGTTTGTACATCTCTAATTGCACTTAAAAATCCTGCAATATCTCTCATATTTGGGCAAATTACGAAATCTCATTTCAAATAAGTAATAATAAGTCTTAAGCTTATAAATTTAATATTTTATATATTAATAATTTAATTTTTTTTTTAAAAAAGTAATGACACTGAGACAAAATGATTTTAAAGTCAATTCAAACTTGACTTCGATGTTGCACTAAACTTTCTATTGAGTGGAGCGAAGAAGGTGATTCAACTTTCAGTGGGGTGGTTATGAATTCGAGTAAGATATAATGTAACAAAATCTCATATCGAATCGATAGAGGATAAAGGGATAAAAAGAAGAAAAAAGGTGGTAATAGTAATACTCATCTACTTGTACAAATATCTGGTTTTCTCTTGCTTACACAGAATAAAATTGTAAAATTCATAAGCAGACTCAAATTACAGAGAAATCCTGAATCAAATTCATTCCATGTTGATCAATGGGCAAGGAAAATGGGTCAGTCAGCTGACTCGAATCACCGCAACCCTGCGTCGTGCTGATAATAGCTCGTTCATGTGAGCAATTTGAACCAACAGCTGGTTGATCTTCTGCAGCATGAAATTGAAAGTTTGTGGAATGAGTTGCAAATTCTGACTAGCAATGGAGGAAACAGAACATACAAACAAGTTTTTCTGTTCATTTTTGAACAGTGTTCATGGTTGAGCAGTGAGAAGAGAAGCATTCCAGAATATGGGTTCAGTTCGATTCGATAAATTAATCAGGGAAGCAGATTGTAACTGTCTCTGCGTCCAGGATTTTCCTGGAAACTTTTATCTGCTTAGCTACTTGCTGAAAAGAAAGTTCTGGGGAGAAAATTATAGCAATTCTACCAATAATCTAGCGTCTTTATAGATTTTGATTTGAAGTAACAGACATTAAGGGAAATGAGAAAACTGTAGCATCAGGAAAACAGAGTATGATCATTCAGAGTTTCCGAGTAGGAAGTTTCATGGCAAAAACCTGTTCTTTCTCTTGAATTAAGAACTCCAATTGATCCTTCTTCTCTCCCTTGACTCTGGTACGCCACCTCCTAACCTTGGCATACACCAACGACATCAACACCGCCGCCACAACTCCACCGACCGCTCCGACGGACCAAGCCCCCCATCCAAAGGCCACGAAGCATCGAACTCTAGCAGCAACTTTCACAATCCCAGAAGTCAGGATTTCACCAATCCCATTTGCTTTCCTCAAAGGCCGTGAGTTTGCTTCATCCCCAGTCGACGACCAAGATTCCAGAACCGCTGAATTCACCTCTTCATCTCGAACATGAACTTCTTCCCCTTCTTCATCATTTTCTGCTTCTGATGTTATAACTAACCCTTCGTGATGGCTCG